ACACCTTATTCCTTTCCATGTACTATGGAATCCAATGATACTGTCCTCTTCTCCATTCCTTACTTATGACATTCTATCTCCCAACTCAGAACATTACTCACTGTTCTCCTTTACCCCCAACTCTTTCATTCCTCATCTCTGTCTTTTGGCTTCTCTGGCTTCCTCCAAGCCTTAGCTAAAGTCCCACTCTCTGTAAGAAATCTTTCCCAGTGACAACTTAATCAGTGCCTTAATTAGTGCCTTTCTTCTGAGAATACTCCCAATTTATTATATGTCTTGTTTGCATGTTCTTTTCCTATTAGACTGTGAGCTCCTTGGCAGTGGGCACCATCTTTTGTCTTTTTTGCTGTCGCTGGCAAGGTGCCTGGTACATAGCAGGCACTTAATAAATGTTTGTTGACTGATAAACTGACCTCCAGAGTTGCTTTGTTTTGAACTTAAATGTGTCAGAAAATCTACCCCTAGTTTCACTCTGATACTATTTATTGTCACATTTACTGAGGGACAACGGGAAAATCGCTTAACTTCTTTTGACTTTTATTGTTAACATTCCTAATCTATATAATGGGCATAATGATGTCTGTATAATCTGTCTCATAGACAGATCAAATGAGATAACATACATAATAATAAGTAATAAAACAAATCACTGGATGTCAGTGATTATTTTCACTATAAATTTATAGAATCTGCTGATGTCAGTTAGACTCAACATAATTTAGTGGGTAGTGCTCTGGATTTAAGGGCCCTAGGGTAGTTTCATTGCAGAACCAAGGTTGGCATTTACTCTAAGAACCTAAGGTTGTGGTTTGCAGTGACCCTGGACTGAACTGAATGCCTCAGATGCCCAGTCTTCCCAGATCTGAACCTCAGTTGGCTTGGTTTCCAAGGAATGGGGAGCATGTAGCCAGATAGCAATTCAGTTGACACCCTCCCCCAGTACATTCTTATTTCAGTACATTCTTTCCTTATGATCCCCCAGGGGTCTAGTGAGTCCTTAAACTCTGGAAAGAGCAAGGAAACTCAAGACAAATTGGGACCACTCAATATCTTCTGACTGTAAAAGGTCTTTGCTTTTTTTTAAAGGAGAAAATTCTTTGTTTATCAATCAATCAACAGTTTAAAGTGCCTGCTATATGTGAGGCATTGTGCCAAGTACTGAGGATACAAAAACAAGCAAAAGTCAGTCCTTACCTTCAGAGAACTTACAATCTAATGGGGGAGACAACATGCAAACAAATGTATTACAAAGCAAGCTACCTATGGGATAAAAAGGAAATAGTTAACAGAGGGAAGGCACCAGAATTAAGAGGGGAATGGGGTTCCAAACACTTTGTTCTACTGTTGTCCTTTCCACATTATGACTTTCCCATTGCAGTTTCAATATATCACAAGTTGGCATAAGTAATTAAATGGGAATTTTGGGGGAGTTTTGTGGAAGGCTTAAGTGACACACAAAGGCCAGAAGACAACATAGGAAAAGTTTAGAAACTCTAAAATGCACAAAATATGTGTAGAAGGGAGGGCCAAAATTTTTTACATGGATTTTCCAGATTGTAGGAGAGCCACACCCCTAAATTGCCTCCCTGCCACCATCCTCATGTGGAAGGGATAACTACTTTCTCAGCCATCTGTTCTGTTCTGAGTTTGAAATGAATCTTGAAGCTACGGAACGTTGCATTATGAAAATAGGATAGTACCAGGAGTCAGTCAGGGGGCCTAGGTCCAGTCCTAGATTCTAATAGTTATGAGCCCTGTGACCTTGCAGAGGTCATCTCTCTGAGATTTATCTGCAAAATAGAATGGAGGAAGCTCACTGTGGATGATTTTTAATAATTCAATTAATCAACATATGTTTATTGATTACTATGTACCAGGCAGAGTACTAAGTACCAGAATTCTGTGATTCCTTCCAGCTCTGACATTCTATGAATCTATGAAATCCCTTGAACTCCTAGATAAACAAAATTTATTTTCTAAACCCCATAGATAACTCAATTGTATGTATTTCAAACAGATTATGAAGGATAAGCCAAGATTCTGCTAGAATTAATAGAAAACTCAGAACTGAAATGCCCACTGCCCCTGACAAAACACTACCATTTGCTCAAAGGGTGGTGCCAGTAAGGACAGCTTCTATACTGGTGTGTGTAAAAGACTATGATTCCTAATTGACTAAAAGAACTCTAAGTCACCATGCTGAGTATTTTTGTGAAGAGAGAAGGGATTTCTTCAGATGGCTGGACTTTGAGAGAGGTGGCTATGAGAGGCAAGCTTGGACTTTGTAATGGTTCCGGCTAAGTGCCCTGCCTCGTACATGGCGGGAGCTGGGCCCCAACATGTGCCTAGAAATTGCTAAGAGTAGACTTGGTGAGAGATATACTACCCAGATATACCCAGACAAGTCTATGATGATGCTGATGGTCAACCCATAGTATATACTAGCTCAGGTACAGGATCAGAGATATCAGACAGTGATAAGGGAATGAGATATATCTGACAGACTGGTCCTTAGACTAACTTACTATATACTGTAGGTGAACCTGAAGAAATAATGACACACATGTGCCCAGGCAATAATTCTAGAGATTGCTCATTTGAACCGTGCCCTGCATAAATTGCATATGTTTATTGCTACACTTGTTAATTTCTTCACATTTGAGTCTGTTTATTATATCCGCTGTTATGCTTATACTACAGTAATATCTGTTAATTGCTTTGCTCATTGTTTTTTGCATACATGATTAATGCTTATAGTTAAGTTATACTTTTTATGTATAGGGCTTTTGATTGTTATTGTTATAACTAACTTTATTTTGTTATTTTAGCCTTTTTAAAAAAAGATTGATTACTGTGTGCTATGGATAAGCATGTAGGAAGTAGTAGCTGGTTGGCTCAGGGGATAGAGTGCTGGGCCTAGAGTCAGGAAAACTTAAGGTTCAAATCTGGCTCAAGATACTTACTAGCTATGTAACCCTGGGCAAGTCACTTAACCTCTGTTTGTCTTAATCAACTGGAGAAGGAAATGGCAAACCACTCCAGTATCTTTGCCAAGAAAACCCCACCACAGACAGTATGGTCCACAGGCTCATGAAGAGTCAGATAAGACTGAACAACAACATGGGCAATCATATAAATATGAGCTGGGTGAGAAATGTGTATACTGGAGTACAAAACTTAAGCAATTTGTCACTGAAGTTCCCTATCAGGTGATGCTTTGAATATTTCTTACATGTATTGTTAATGCTCATTTGTTTTCTTTTGTTTTCAAAAGACAGCTAGGTGGTGTGATGGATTGGGCACTGGGCCTAGATGCAGTAAAAACTATATTTAAATTTGGCCTTAATAGTTGGGTAGTCCTAGGAAAGTTTCTTAATCTCAGTTTCCTTGACTGTAAAATGAGGATGATAATTACACCTACCTCCTAGTTTTGTAAAGTACTTAGCACAGGGCTTTGCATAATAAAGGTTTGTTTCCTCCTATTTTTCCTACCTCAATGATATCTAGGTTGGTTACCTCAGTGCCAAGAAAATTACCTTTGTTGTTTTAAAATGCTGATGTTTGTGTTCATGTTATATAGTTACAGGTTTCAAGCTTACCCTAGATGATTTGAATAGGAGTGCAAAAAGTTCCTGTCCAGGAAAAGAATGTAACAACACCCTGGCCAAACTGATTGATGGATGGTGCTCTGAAGGACAGCTCTGTGACTGTGCTAAACTGAGTCTGTAAAGGGGCATGACATGAAGGGCTGGGAGAATATTGAATCATGATGCTTCATAAATGCAAGGGGAGAGAAGAGATTTCTTTAGATGGCCAGAGGACTTTGAGAGAGGAGGCAAGAGGCAAACTCAGACTTTGGAATGACTGCTCAGAGCTCTTGGAGCCACAGATGCATGGGGAACCCGGGCCCCAGCACGCCCTTTAACTCCTTGGGCCTGCAATCCTAGAGACTGGTAAGAGTGAACTATAATTAGTGAAATCTTTTCTCTCCTTAGAAGTCTAATCTCTGCCCCAAAAAGCTCATTTATTCCTGTGTAATCTTTTGCCTACTCTAGTCTGTATAACTTTCACAATTTCTGTTTGTTTCTTTTTCCCTACTTTCTTTGAAAAAGAATTTTACTACCTGCTTTTGATAGTCTTTTGTTTAACCAGCATTTGATGGGAAGAAACTAAGCTGGCAACAGTAAGCTAAGTATTACCTTCCTCTTGAGAGGGAAAGTGGCGTTGAACCTTAGTCACCAACCCCCAGGGATCATACCCTTAGACTACCTATATTTGAGGAGCAGTGGATAGATAGATAGCCCCAAATCATTCTTGGAGGTAGTCAAGGGAAGGAATGGACATTTAACTGTAGCTCTCCTCATGCAGAAATTACAGTTTCCTTTGAAAAGGAATAAGCTAACTTCCAGGTCCAATATTTATTCATACAATATGTAAATTGAGCCTGTCTTTTATATTTACACAGACAAATAACACAAGGTTTTTTTTTTCTTCTGAGCATCCTTTTATCTCTAAATCCTATGAAAAAGATTAAGCAGTGTGTTGTAGTGCAAAATACTCTGTATTTCGAATCAGGAATCTTGAATTTAAATTCTTCTTATGCTGCTTACTATATTGTGTTTATATATATATATATATATATATATATATATACACACACACACACACACACACACACACACACACACACACACATAAACACACACATATATACCTATACATAAAATATGTATATATACATATAGACACATATATAAAATATGTCCATTGTGTATGTGTGTACACACATATGTGCACACACACATATATAAAGTTTAGGTACAGCTAGGTGGGGCAGTGGATAGTGTACCAGGCTTGCAGCTAGGAAAATCTCAAATCTGGCCTCAGACACTAGCTGTGTGACCCTGGGCAAGTCAATTGACTCCTTTTTGCTCAGTTTCTTATCTGTAGAATGGGGACACATTGGAAAAGGAAATGGCAAACTACTCCAGTATCTTTGCCTAGAAAACCCCATGGACAAAGGGCCATGAGGTCACATAGAGTTGGATACTACTGAACAACTGAACAACAGTGTTAGCTTTACCACGAATTCCACTAAGCCGTTGTTTGAACCAGTAAGAAACTTTATTAACAGCCTGGGAAGACCCGGACGTCCCACACGTGGGAGCACATGTGTCAACAGATGCACACCTTTTTATTCCCTATTCCCGATTCAAATTTCCCTCCCCTGTTTCTCTATTGGCTAGGTATTATGGAGGTTACAGCCTGGCCGAAGCACCTAATTTCCCCATGTGAGTCTCCGTCCCTAATTCCCACTCCCCACCATTTGGGGACCCAGGCCCTCATCTGCTTTCGCTTTTATTTGGGAACACCCCTTTTGATGTTAATCTATACCTAGCCTCACTTACCAATAGTGTTTTCTTATTCTAATTTATGGCTTCCTTTGTTCGACTTCCACCTAACCCTTAGATTGACTTTTGTGGAAATGAAAACTAGCTATTTCTCATATTCCCTCCCAGTTCAAACTGACTCCAATGCTCTATAGGTGTCCACATCCTGATGAATGATGTGCAGAAATAACCTCCCCAGCCACATTTTCCACAACAGCAAATACATCAAGTTATATTACTTAGACCAATTCTAATGTGACTTGTAGCTCTAAATCTTATGAAATAGGTGAACACAGGCCCATGAAGGGTCAAATAATATGTGATCATCTCAAAACTCAAACTATTGATAGCCCATTGTTGGAAAGAGGAAGTCAGTGGTCTGCATGAATAATTCCTTTGGGAAAATCCTGAGCCATATTGGGGTATGACCTCTTCTTGGCTAGATGATAAGGAAAGAAAAAAAAAGGCCCAAACAAAATAAACTACAAGGAATTGAAATCCCTCCCCAAGAGACTGGATAATGTAGTTTCAGGGAATATCTCTGGGAGGAGATAATCAGTGTGATCAAGGAAGGCTTCATCAGTTCCAGAAGGAAATCTTCAGAGACTTTCTTCCTGCCATACATGAAGGACCAAAGGAGACCAAGCCTGAAGGTCAGTGAAGAATAACTAGTATTTTCAAGTTAGTTTAAGGCAAGGTAAACATGAGTTAACAGTGTGACTAATGGCTAGAAAAGCTAAAACAAGCTGCTTTGAGAAAGGCATAGTGTCTGTGAGGGAAGTGAACATTCTATTTCTGGTCTGCTTTTGTGAAGTATCTTTTAGGAAGGTCATTGGTAACCTAAAAAAGCATCCATAGAAGAGGGACCAGGTTGGTAAAGGGCTCTGAGACCATACTGTATAAAGAAAGGTTGAAAGAACTGACAATGTTTAGCCTTGAAAAGAGAACCCTTAAGGATTGGGCAATCATCACACGCCTAATAAACTAGTTTGAGCAAGAATAAATGATTATACTGGAATACCAAAATATGTTTCTAACCGAACCTGAATAAAATTAGCATTTCAGTTAGTCAAATTCCAGCAATTCTCCATATCAATGAAATTGTAAATCTGGACAAAAACAAAACAAAACAAAACAAAAAAACCCTCAGTAACTGAAGCAAATGCAAAACTCATCCTTAAAGTACTACATAAAGGAGAGCCATGATCTAGTCCAGCTTAGCAATATTCTTTTTTTTAATCAATGTTTTTTAAAAAAAATCAGTCATTTCTAAATCTCTCCTCCCATTTCTCTAGCTATTGAGCTCTCTGTTATAACAAAGAAAAATCATTTAAGCAAATCAATTGACACAGTGATAACATATATGCAATTCTGTACCTAAAGTCCAGCATCTTAACACTGAGAGTAGGTATATATGTTTCATTCTTTGTTTTCTATGACCAAGTTTGTTCATTACAATTTATCTAAGTTTGGCTGCTTTTGAGCACTATTTTCATTGATTTTATTGAAGTCATTGTGCATGTAGTTCTCTGGTTCTGCTTTCTTTGCTTAGAATCAATTCATATAAGCATCCATCGAAATCCCTCATATTTATTGTTTCTTACAGCATGGTAATATTCTATTACATTCCCATACCACTAATTGCTTATTCATTCAGCAATCAATGGGCACCCACTTTGCTTCCCAATGTCTGATACCACAAAGTATTGCTATTCATATTTTGGTATTCTTTTACTCATTGACCATCTTGAGGTATCTGCCTAGTAGTGGGATTCAAAGATTATGGGTGGAAGAGTATGAATGATTTCACAGTACTTCTCACATAATTCCTAATTGTTTTTACTGTCCACCAAGTCTTTGTTATATCTATCTTCACAAAGCCCCTCCAACATGGATTATTGTGACTTTATTATCTTTGCAAATTTGCTGAGTCACCTCAATGCTGTTTTAATTTGTGTATCTTTTATTAGTAATGATTAGACGACTGTCGAATTAGAGAAAAAGATTCAGGGAAGTTAAAATGAGCTGCCTAGGGTCGGTCACAAAGTGAGTTAGTGAGTTGGTGGCAGAGTCCCATTCTTGCTAGATGGGATTTAAAATGGCTAGGGCATTGCTTGTTGCTTTGAAATTAGTGCCAAGGCTCCTCCCTGAATCGTGATGTAGTCACAAAGACAAAGACAAAAGGCATTTAATTTGGAGTAAGAAAATTTGGATTTGAGTCTCTGCTCTGAAACAAGGACGACCTGTTTCCTTTCTGGGCCTCAGTTTCCTCATCTGTCAAATTAGGGGGTGAGACTAGATAATTTTTGAGATTCTCCTTTTAATTTGAAATCCTAAAATGCCATTTGTTATGATTCATCATGGTTCATTGAAAAAAGAAATGGATTTGGAGTAAAAAGATCTGAGTGCAAATCCCAGGTCTGCCACTTTTGTGATTTTGTATTAGTTACACCTCTCTGGAATTTGTTTCCATCATTTGTAAAATAATGGAGGGCTGAACTAGGTCAAGAATGGCTGGAGGGCCCAACCTGGTGTCCGGAAAACATGTATTCATACATATTCTGCCTTAGACATTAGGCATGTAACCTTGGGAGAGTCTTTTAACCTCTGTCTGCCTCAATTTCCTCATCTGCAAAATGGGGATAATAATAGCAGTTGAGAGAATTAAACAAGATAATATTTGTAGAGTGCTTTTCAAATCTGAAAAAATCCGGAGTATAAATGCTAGCTATTATATATGTTTCTATAGTTTCTGAGGTATTAAGAATGTGAATATGCTTCTATCTACCCATCTGAGTTCTATTCCGATTCTGGTCATTTCAGACTTGGAAAATGGGGGGCAGCTAGGTGGTACAGTGGCTCGAGTACCGGCCCTGGATTCAGGAGGATCTGAGTTCAAATCCGACCTCAGACACATAACACTTACTAGCTGTGTGACCCTGGGCAAGTCACTTAACCCCATTGCCTAGCCAAAAAAAAAAACAAAACCAGACTTGGAAAATGGACCTTCTCCCATCCTATTTTGTTTAAGTTTGAGATCTAAGCCTCCTCTTTAAGGCTTGTTAAGCCTTTGCAGTTTTTGGAACTTGGCTATCTTTTTTTTAGATATGGGTTGGACTAGCTAGTTTCTGATGTCTCTTTCAACCCTGAGATTCTGTGGTTCTTAATGATACTGATTATTGATAGTGCAGTTCTTATTGATATTGTGTGGGATGCCACTCAAATTAAAAATAAAACAAAACACAGAGGTGTACAAGGAGAAACAGAAAGTTAATTTATTGTAGCTATAATTATTATTATTTCAAATCTCGAGATTTGGGTGTCCCTCCATCAGTCCATCAGTAAGCTCTGATGATGGCAGACGGCCCACAGAGGTAGAAATCAGCTTATATAACCCTGAAGACTCAGTTCCCCCTCCCTCACAGCTGTCCATTAACTCAGCGCACAATCTCACAGGCCAGACTCTAACATAGGACAAAGGACGTAGTATACATCTCTATATTTCTTAGTTTGTTGAGATAATGTCAAGGAAGCAATTAAAAGAAATGTGCAGTTAGGAAGATAATTTACAATTGTTTTGGAAGGTTTTAGGGATTGAACAGACAATGTTGGGAACAGGAAGACATCTAAATAAAATCCTGTCAAAGGGGATAAGGGGGCTTGAAGAATTTAGGTTTTCCTGAGACTGGTAGGTGAATGGGAGTCAAAAAAGAAAACACATTTGGGTAAGGTCAAAGGCCAGGCCAGGGCCTTAACAATTAGACAAATTCCCACGACTAATGTCTGGTGCCAGGAGAAGAAAAATAATGATCTTACAGAAATCTATACTGAACCCTATGTCACCTCCTGGACCCAATACCAGATCCAGAATAGTCTTGTCCCAAATCTTAATTACACTGAGAAGTCTTCACAATGGTATTCCATTCAATATCAATAAGATATTATCTTATTGGAAATGCTTGCTCCACACTCACAGAACTTTTAAGTCATGACAGATATGTTGTATAAGATGGATTACAGTTTATTTCCAGGTTCTTCATTTTCCTCTCTGAAAGTTTTGAGACTGAGTCCAGGCTCCTCCCTGTCATTATCTTCCTGTGTTGGCACTCAGCATTCACTTTTGACTGGCAGTTTACTTGCAAACTAGAGTTCTTTTAATTATTTTCTATTTATCATTGCTTTGTATATATTTGTTTGCATGTTGTTTTCCCCATTAGATTGTAAGGTCCTTGAAGGTAAGGACTGTCTTTTGCTACTTTTTGCATCCCTATGTCCTTTCACATAGTAGGTACTGTGGAATTATAATGTTCATATTAATCTATATTACATGTGTAATGAATATACTTTGGAATAATTTCGAATTCTTAAAAATTGCCTTTTCCAGCTTGTGAGTCAGAGCTCACAATGAAGCTTAAAATGATCAATCAAACTTTGACAAAGCTCCCAATTACTGCCTGTGTGCCGGAAGTGAAGTGAATCAAAGATTGTAGAACCTGTTCCCAGCATAGAACTTTGGCTCTGTGCCCTAGGAGAGGTGGCCAAGGCCCCCAAAGACTTGACTCCAGAAGTGCAGTATTGTAAGATTTGTGGGTTTCTTCTCTAGGGGAAACCACTAAAGATTGTTTGTAATCCACCTTCCCATTTGTGATTTAAGTATATAATCTCTGTCTTCACTTCTGCTAGGTGGAATTCTGATCAGGAGAATTCCTGATTTGCAAATCTGTTCCTCATAATGAACCTAATTGATTAAAGGACTACCTGATTACTGGCACTTTGTCTCTGGCCTGTTCTTTTGTCATTTTCAGTTTAAAGACTGGCTCGGTAAAATCCTGTTAACATTAATTGGTGTCAGAAGCTTTTAAGGAGTGGACATTGGGTGAAGCCTTGAGCTCTCTGGTACTGGGGAGAAGGGACAGGCACCACTGGATTTTTTCCACAGCCCCAACTCATCTGATCTGGCAGGTTCAGTGCTCACTCTCTCTCCATTATGGGCTCAACCTTTCATCGAGCCCACCTTTCATTGTGAGGAACGTTCCTGAGAATCCACCCAGTCCTGGTCCGCTTCATAGAGCAGCAGTTTATGTGAAGGGTGCCCTCTGCCGTTACTTCTTTCCCCATTCTCAGGACACTACCACAGTCATAAGCACAACAGCTTATAATAATCCTATTTACTGCCAGGAGTCCAGTTTCCCAGTTGGTAGTTATCCTTAATTTAGCCCATCTCCCCATGGTCTGTTACCCTGGCCACTTCCCACCCTTAATCCTATCTGGATTACAGAGTTTTCTCTGAGGGCCAGTTGGTCCAGGTCCCAGGCGTTCTGTTCGCCTCTGTTTACTGGCCACTGCCATCAAGATACTCCTCCCAGCCCCTTCTCACATCACCCCAAACTACTTGGCCATTCCTAGATACCTCTCATTGTCTTTTTGTATATAAAATCCAACCTGGTGACCATTTGGGGGCTGAGACTTCCTCATTCCCACTCATCCTTATGAGTGTCACAAGTGGTCAGATTCCTTAAGAAACTAGCCAATGCTCGGATTCTTATAATCCAGCCGATAGCTCACTAATGTTCAGATTCCATAAGAGTCTGGCCGATATGGCAGATCTTTAATAAACCTTGTCTTTGGCTGAAAGAAGGCTTGGGTTGAATTCATTCAGGCAGGGCTTGCATGTGGTGATTTTGGGGTCCCAGCACCCCTAAACATCTAAACCCCAACAAATGGACTTAATAGGAGGTTTTAGTTCCCTAGCATATCAGATCCTTACCCACAGGGTCCCTTACACTCAGAGGTCTCTAGAGAAGCAGGTTCCACTCTCCATCCAGCACCTAAGGGGCAACATGGGCCCTCACCTTGGATGGTTAAATCCCACGCAATGTAATTTTACCTTTATTCTGAACTCCACATGGGTTGTTTTCCTAAATGCCTCACTTGATTCCTCTGGTCACCTTTTGCAGCCACAGATTTCCCTGAATGGGACTGGGGCATCTCATAACATTGCAAAAGCCGTCTGTAGCCAGTGGAGTTTTCGGACCTGCTCTACCAAATCAGGCATCTGACCTCTGACCTTTACCCACAACAAAGGCAACTGTAAGGGCATCTATTGAATTTTTGGGTTGGTATGGGAAACCCAGAAAGGCCTCTTGTTCTATAACCATGCTAGAGCTAAACACTCATGCTTGGAGGTATGAACTCAGTGCGCCTCACTCTGCCTGGGATTCACCCTCTGATACCTATACCTTTGCCATTCAATTGTCTCCTTCCACAGGACTGTTCTTATGTGGCTTGACACTATATCACAGTCTCCCTCCCTTCTGGGAAGGCCTCTGTGCTTTTTCGTCTACACTATGCCCAATTTGTCTCTATTCCCAGGGAACCACCTCGCTGAAGTTCTTCTCCAGTTAAAGTTTTCCCTCCATTGGCAAGGAAGGCTTGCTTTCCTGCCCATTGCGGCCCTGTTGGCATCCATTGGATCCCTGTGGTACCACACCCATCTTTGGCATGCTGTATCCGTTTCTTGGAAACCTCTCAGCAGAACTAGTCATGGACCTGGAGTGGACAAGAAAGCTTGTTACCAGCTTCCAAACACAGGTTTATTCACTTGCCCTGGTGGTAATGCAAAACCATTTGGTGCTGGACACCCTAACTGCTGGGGGGAGGGGGAGGAAGGGGCCTTGCACTGTCATTGGGAAGGAATGTTGTTTCTATCTCAACCAATCCTCTCAAATAGAGGAATACCTCAGTGCTTTAAACAGGCAAGCAGAAGATTTATGGAATAGGTGTCAGAACATTCTGCAGCATATTTCCTTCCCACCCTCCTTTGATCTATGACTTGTCACTTACTTGTTCTTACATAAAATCAAAATCATGTTTCAAATGAATGTTCCTCATCAGCCTTCAAGGGTTATTCTAACCTTCTTGGCCGAAAGGAGGGAATGTGGAATTATAATTTTCATATTAATCTATATGATATGTGTAATGAATATACTTTAGAATAATTTCGAATTCTCAAGAATTGCCTTTTCCAGCTTGTGAATCAGCTCACAATGCAGTTTAAAATGAACAATCAAACTTTGACAACGCTCACAACTATTGCTTGTGTACCCGAAGTGAAGTGAATCAAAGATTGTAGAACCTGTTCCCAGCACAGAGCTCTGGTTCTGTGCCCTAGAGAGGTGGCCAAGGCCCCCAAAGACTTGACTCCAGAATTGTTGTATTGTGAGATTTGTGGGTTTCTCTCAGGAAACTACTAAAGATTGTTTGTAATCCACCTTCCCATTTGTGATTTAAGTATGTAGTCTCTGTCTTCACTTCAGCTAGGTGGAATTTTGATCAGGAGAATTCTTGATTTGCAAATCTGTTCCTCACAATGAAACTAATTGATTAAAGGACAACCTGATTACTGTCACTTTGTCTCTGGCCCCCTGTTTCATCATTCTCAGGTTAGAGACTGATTCAGTAAAATCCTCTTAATAGCACTTAATAAATGTTTCTGGAAGAACAGGGTGTCCTGGATTCTCTTCCTGTGGTTCAGCCAAAACTTCTAAGGCGAAAGGAAAAAGACTGACTTTGACCCACAGAGAGCCAATCAGGGACTTAAGATTTTTCTCTTTTATGCAGTGGCATAATTTGTCCTTCCTAGGCAGACACACACAGACACACACACACACCCTCACACAGGCTAGAGATTAGAGGGTTACACTAGGTAATTTCTTTTGATGATGACTAGGGTACCTGTCTACCTCTACCTCGGGGTGTCCCCATACAGTATCCTCGAAACTACATTTCCCATGGGGCAATTCTCCCTCCCACTAGTTTCTCGGCAGTTGAAAAAGCTTCCGATGCAAGCCACCGCCCAGTGTTGGAGAGAACCCAGGCACCTGCGGACGCTCTTTTGCACCGAGCCTGTTCTGTCGCCGATCCACCTGGGGAGAAGCCACTTGGGAGGCAGTCTGAGAGACGCGCGATGCGGAGCCCCTGGCATCTGTGCGCACTGGGAGCTGTCCTCCTCTGCAGCGCCGGGGGCGAGCTGCTCGAGGAGGGTAGCAACGACAGGCCCATCATTGGTAAGAGGAGGGGGCTCTGGGCTTTGGGGTGTGTGTGTGGAGGGCGGAGGGCGGTAGGGCTCAGCCCTAAGGGTCCAGGGCAGGAGAAAAAAGGATCCTAGGAACTTCGTAGGACGGAGCGCCCGAGCCCAAGAACGTGCTAGAGATCTCCCAGCCTCCCCATCCCTGGGTGTGTGGGGTGTGAGATTGCAATTTGGAAGGAACAGAGTTACTGCTCCATCATCAGCCCCTCCCATCCTTTAATTCACCACCCAAGGAGCGCTGCTTGACAGTGTAGACGCGGCTGAGTCCCAGCGTCTAGCTGCAGATTGTGGAATAGCTTATAACCTGTTCTCTCACTCTGGGATCGATCTTGGCCAAGACTTGGAAAAGCAGACTCAACGTTTCCTGGCTGAGATGTAGAAACTGGGTATCATCACCTCTAGAGAGTCACGTTGGTCCTACAATAGCCTAATGAATGGCAGCCTTAGTTGATGTTGCAGACACTAGCCTTGTGTGAGGCTTTGTGCCTGATCAGACTCGGTGGGATCATTGATCTGGAGCTGGAAGGGACATGAGGGGCCACCTAACCCAACTCCTGTTTTACTGATGAAATAATGGAGACTCAGAAAGTTTGGAAATTACCCAGGTCATAAAAATAGCCACCTTTAGAGGAGGACTTCGAACTCTTGACTTTAATGACCAGTAGTTAATTTTCCTTTGTGTCATACTGTTGGCTTTAGAAAACGTTAGAAAACTTCATTTTCCTTGTTTTAATTAACATATATGTCTTGTGAAGAGGACTTAGCTGCAGCATGAAAAGTATCCAGCTACATCATTAAGAGTTCAAATACCAGCCCTGCTACTTGCTAGCTGTGTGACCTTTCGGAAGTCATTGAACCTCATAATTGAAATTATGAGTGTAGTTAAAGTTATATGATTTCAACTAAATTAAATTAATAATAAATTGACTTTGATTTATTCATCTATAAAATGAGGGGACTGCGACAGATCACCCTACAGCTCTCTTTTGTCTCAAAATTTATGCTCCTATGATCGGTCTTGTGACTTAGAAACTGGACTCTTGTGATCTGAAATATGCAGAGTCATGTTGGTTGCATTTTACAGATAAGGCAATTTAGACTCCAAAAGTTTGGGACTTATCTAGATCATGAAAATAGTAATCTTAAGAGGTGGGCTTTGAACTCCTGACTCTAGGGGCCAGTGTATTTTCCATTGTGTCATACTGTTGGCTTTAGGAAATGTCAGAAAACGGTCAGCACCAGCATCATTTCCTTGCCTGCCAGGCCTCTACAATCAAACAACTAGGAAGTACCCTTGGTTCCCATGTTTGGAGATGAAGAATGCTTCTCTAGAACACAGAATGGGCCAATGGGAGCTAGATACTTGGAGGCCACAAGAAGCTCCAGTGAAAAAAGGGCTAGAGCTCTTCTTGGAAGGTGCCAGGGGAAACAAAGTTTCCCCAGGCTGAACAGCTTCTTGAGGAAAGCCTCCACTTGGTCTTTACCTTTGATACTCATAAATTTGCCCACAACGTCCCCATTCTTAATGGCCAGCACGATTGGCAGAGCAGATACTCAATGGCAAGGTCTCTGTTGTCATCAGTGTTCATCTTGGTCATCAGAACCTTCACCTTCTGCTTTGTCATCCTGGACACTAATACTAGAATGTCCTAGCCAGACTGGGTGTAGGAGCTGGCCTACTGGGGCTGCCCTGGGCCACCCATGGCAGCCTGTAGAACCTCAAGAGAAAGATGTGCTCAGTGATATTGAGAGAACTTCCTCAAGATGTCCGAAGCCAATAATCTGAAGACCAGACCTTGAGCCATCTCCCTACTGAGCAAGCAAGGCCACAAGCCTGCTAGACTAAATGAACAGAGGAACCCAGGCCATCCTGCTTTTTCCCACTTCCTCCAGCCCAAGTTGGCTTAGAATTTTGATCTATTTGCTAAGGTTACTAGAGAGGCCTGAGAACTGGTAGAGTATTAGGGCTAGGTGACACTAATGCATTCCCTTGGTAGAGAGCATTGATTGCCTTTTCAAGTAGTGGAAGTAGAACAGGAGCTTTCCTGTTAGGGTGGATGAGGCAGTGGACTAGGAGTTAGGAAAACTTGAGTCAAAAACACATTAGACACTTACTATGTGATCTGGGGCAACTTGCTTTACTTCTCTGGGACTCAACTTCCTTATCTGTCAAATGGTGGGGTTGGATTCAGTCTCTAAAGCTTCTTCCAGCTCTAAATCTACATGCCTGTGGTTAAGACAACAGTGTAGCCTTGGCCTTGTTACTACCCCTCTCAGGGCCTCAGGTTTTTATCCTTGCATTGAGATTGGACTATGTGATCTTTCTGACTCCTTCTATCCTTATGATTCTGTGAAGAAGGAAGCTGATGGCACTAATCAGCTCTTGGCCAAATTTGGACCTTACCTTGAGAATTAGTTTTTTTAAACCTGTTGATTTCTGAAACACTGCCTTGACCCCTTACATAGCTTCTGATAGTCCTCCCCTTTATTCTACCTATTTTGCATACTTGAGACTTTATGTACTTAGTTCTGTGAATAAAAATAACAATGAGATTTGTCTTTTTTTTTTTCTTAAATAAAACTGAGCTGCTGTAGCAAAACAGGCTGTTGTTTGAAATAACTCTTTTTTTTCTTTTGGAATACTTGTAGGAGTACTGGCACAAGCTAACCATATGAGTAATTTCAAAGAATATGGAAAGTATTACATTGCTGCTTCATATGTAAAATATCTGGAGTCTGCAGGTGCAAGGGTCATGCCAATCAGGTAGAGTGTTTGCTAACTTTATACTGTCTATAGAAAGTACTACGCTTTGCTTCTGAAATTAAGATCGTCATGTAATGGTGGTTCTACTCTTGTGACTAAGACTAATCATTTTGAGGATTTTTTCTGTTCCAGTGTTATATCTGATTTTGTCTATGAACATCACAGAGTAGATCCTTTAACATAAAGTTTTCTTAGCTTCTAAAAAAGGTGTGCAAGTAACATAAAGGGTTAGGATAGGGCACACACATAAAGGACATAGAAAAGGAATGAAATGTTTCCATAAAAAGGATAAACATTAAAAAGTAATTGGAGTTTTATATAAAAAATTCATTTAAAATGGAACAAAAGAAGCTGCTTAAAAAAAAAAAAACTCCTGTAACATATCAGAGCAAAGGGATCATTCATTGAAAGGAAGACACAGAAAATTTACATATGATTTATAAAATGGATACTTTGTAGTTTTTGCTTCCTTCCTAGTCATGGCCTTGCTGATGCATAATGACCTGAGTTCAAGCTGTGTGACACTGGGCAAGTCACTTAACCTCTCAGTGCCTCAGTTTTTTCATCTGTAAAATGAGGGAGTTGGACTTGATGACCTCTGAAATCCTCTTTAGCTCTAAATCAGTGGCCTATGACAGACTCTTAGAAGGTGAAAACTAACTTTGTGGTTCTACTTAACTTGGGAGGGCTAAAGTATATTTTATCAAGAAATTAAAGAGGGGCAGCATTTCTCCACAAAAAAAAAGGCTTTCTCATATTTGATTTGCCTCAATGGTCTAAAATGTTCTAGAATGTCCCAGAATATTCCACTAACTTAACATACCTGATGTTGCATTGTTTTTATATCATTTTCTGAGGCTATGCTTTCCTGAGCAGAGTTTAAGTGATTTATCTCATCTTTTCCACTGAAAATGAAAGACAGATTTCATTTCAGTTTATCAAAGCTTTGCAAATAGTTTCTAGAAATTTCTCAGTCATTTCCCCTTCCTTACCCTGCCACTTGTCTTGGGAAATAAAAGTGTTCCTCATTTTACAGGATAGAAGTGTTCTAAAATAGGTTTTAAAGTATAAATACATTGCCCTATTATTTTATATCAAAAATTGGAACTATGATTTCATTGGCAAAGAATTTAAAAAAATTTGGTTCAGCTATGTTTCTACCCCAAGGTAGGCACTCACTGTTAGTACTCTTTACTTCTGATCATTCCTTCCAAAGATTTTTGATATGTTTTGTTTAATATTCAGGTTATTAATAAATAATAATATAGTTCAGAATAAAGTTCAGGTTATTAGTGGTTTTATTGATGTCTTTGCTTTAATTTTATTATGTAAGATGCCATTATGAGGAGAGGAGATACTATGTTCTATATATATGCATATATGTATGTACTATGACACATATATATACACACATATATACGTATACATATGAATGTGCAAGTGTGAAAACTGGAACCTATAAAGGAAGTCTTGAAGGGCAAATCCTGATCCATGAGTCAACAATCTGAAGGTCACTGAAAAGGGTAGAGTAAGGCTAAGAACAGATGTCCATTGTTTGACTGGCCTGGGCTCTGGGTGTGTCTGTTATCTCTGATGACATATGCCCAGGTTTTGTGGAACAACCTTAATTACAAATATCATCTCCACAAACTTTCAAAATATCCTCAAATTCCATTGTTTAAATATTAGACAAATAGTGACTTGAGGGTCAGCAAACATGGTAAAAATTAAAAAGGCACAGAAGTTGAAGAATCACAGGGTGAAACAGCATTGAGTTAATGACTGGCCCATATTATCCCTGTCTCTAGGTAAGTGGTACATTTGTATGTGGTGAATGTGGTTGTTTTTAGTATAATGTGGTATGACAAAGCTAATATAAGCACCCACAGAGTTGTGGCTAAGCACAGTCCATTGGCCACGTGTCAGATACTATTGCCTCATTGCTGTCATCTACACCTTATCAATGAACTGGGAAAGGAAGGAGGAAAGCAACACCCTGAAAGTCTGAGATACCCACAGCTTTGCTAAACAGAAGACAGAATTCTCAATGGGAAGGCCAGGCTCAGGCTTAGAGATTGAAGATCCATTGTCCTGGTGCCTCATAATCTCCACAGGCTAAGCAACCTTTCTCCCAGTGTACAGCCGCAGTGTAGAGATGCTGACTAAGCTAAATAACTCCAGTGCAGACCTTCATAAGCAGCTAGAGAACTTGCTTCAGACTGATCACTTCAGAGAGCAGAGATCAAAGCTGAGAGAAAGTTTTTAAGGTCAGAAGTTAGAATTCTTAAGGGAATGAGTAAAAGGAATGACTAATTTTCTTGAGGATTGAAGTCTAGAGAGGCAAACTTCAAGAAGTCAAAGAGGAAAGGTACTATTGTTTGGAGGGAGCTAGGACTTAAAATAGAGGCCCTTCCCACATTCATGGCCAGAGAGTAAAGAAGAGCTTACTTGGGGAGATAGTTGAGAGGGAGCTAGCTCTTAATCAAGGCAGGAAATCTTTTATTTGGAGTTTTGGGTTGGGAAGTAGTTTTCTAAAAGGGCTGAAACAACTACAGCCGGCCAAATAGAATTGACTGGAAACTGAGAACTCTAATGTGTAGGTGAGGTAGGTTTGAACCAGCTAGCTCTGCTGATAAAACCTAATAGAAGTAGGAAGTCTGACCAAGAGAAGAACTAGGACAGAACAAGGTTTTTATTAGTTTTTGTTGGTATTAGTTAGTATTAGCAGTAAAAAAACATAGTTGTTGTCAGTGTCCATGGAAGCATGAATGACTGCTAAGACTTCCAAATACCTGTTATCCCCCCTGAATGTTTCCTTGTAATACTTAGTAACCAAACTTTCTTTTTAGGAAGCTTGTCTGGTGTAGGGGAAGAAAGGGTCTTCTTGACAGCAGGTTTCATTTTGGACATGCAGTTCAGAGATGGGAGTGGTGGCTGCATCTAGTAAACCACTAGCAGGCTTCACTTCTCTAAATGCAGAGATGTAATTGAGAAATGGTAAAAAGCCAAATAAAAGAGCAGCAGGGTCATGGGTGGTAGTTGGGGGAGGAGAGGGCTGTGTCCCCTAGCATCACAAATATACTGAGTACTAATATATTATATTGTGTGATGTGCTGTTAAAAGTGTCCACAAATTTTTGTTTCTGTGGAGTGGGCATTCTTTATTCAAAGTAAACATGTATCTATTCTGTAATGTATCAACAAAAATTCTTCCGTGAATAAATGCAGTCCACTAACAGAATCCTATCTACTTAAAGCTAACCTAGCTTTTATCATTATACTTAAATAAATATTTACAAGATGTGGCAATTTCTTCATGTGCTCAATGAATATGAGCACCTACTTTTTAAGTGCTAAGCAACATGGTATAGGAAAAAGAAAGTAGGACTGAGGGTCAGGAGAATCCTCGGTAGCAGTGTATAAAGATGAATTGAAGTGGAAAGAAGTTGAAATGGGGGGGGGGATCAATTTGAAGATTTTCCTAATTCAGGTTGAGGTGATAGATCAGTTTGAGAGACATTATGGGGGAAAATCAGTAGGACTTAGTAACTGGATGTAGGAGGAGTAGGAATAATAGGTTAAGGTTGGCTTTAGACTCAGGCTTACTGACTGAATGAAAAAAGATAGTAATCATTTAGATTCTAGGAACTATACAAAACTGGGGATACAAATAAAAAAGCAAGGCAGATCCTGCCCTTAAGAAGCTCACATTCTACTATATTAAATGTGGTAATGTATATCTTTTTTTCTTTTTTAAAAAAATTATTTATTTGTTTTTAGTTTTCAACATTCACTTCTATTAAGATTTTGAGTTCTAAATTTTTCTCCCTCCTTCCCTCTCTCCCTTACTTTCCCTCTCTCCCCCCTTTCCCACCTCCCCAAGGAGGCATGCATTCTGATATAGGCTGTACATATACAATCATATTAAACATATTTCCAAATTAGCCATGTTGTAAAGAAGAATTAGAACCAAAGGGAAAAATCATGAGAAAGAAGAAACAAAAAAAGAGAGAGAAAATAGTATGCTTTGATCTGCATTCAGACTCATAGTTCTTTTTCTGAATGTGGATAGCATTTTCCATTTTAGAATTGTCTTACATCCTTGTATTGCTGAGAAGAGTTAAGTCTCTCAAAGTTGGCCATGATGATGTGTATCTTAACAAGCTCTGGGTTCAGTCATCAAAGATCTGAAAGCGTTGGGTATCCTTAACTCATTTCACTTTTTTTTTTTATCAGTTAGCAGAGAAATCACTGCTGGTGAACAGAGCTCAGGTTTCTTGTTCAGGTGGCTTATGAAGAGCTGGGGCCATAGGCAGGCAAGTGAGCATCCCTAAGGTGTGGTGTTAGCCCCATCTGGACTTCTCTTTCCTTTTCTGTGCTACTTCACCTTCTGGACTATTTCACCTCTGCTGATGGGCCAAACTTATAGGAGGATCTATATTTCTCTATCGCTCTCACCAGTCCTTGACTAACCAACCCAGCCTGGCCACTCCTTTTCCTTTAGCTCATCCTAAGAGAAAGGCTGGCCTTTGTTTTCCTTTTTTTTTTTTTTGAACTAGCAACCAAGGGCAAGGTAGTTGAATAAAGTAACGCAGAGTATGTAATGGTTGAATTTATAGGACATGCAAATCTTACCCTAAGGTAACTTACTTGGCTGTACATGTTGGCATAATTGCCCTGGGCAAATGGGTCCATGCTCCCAACTAGTTGGTGTTTGGTATGACTATCATGTAGCCTTTCTGTGTTCGGTCAAAATGAATTTCCCACTGTGTCCTTTCCCTAGATCTCATGGTCAGTAAACTGCTACCAGCTTCCTTTTTTTCACCCAGTGCTTCTGTTCCTCTCAAACACTTTGCTTTCCTCTACATACTTTATGATCCAGCAACACCTGCCTTCTTGATGCACTTCACACAGGCCACTCCACCTCTGACTCAGTGCCTTTTCACTGGCTGTCCCCAGCTCTTGTAATGCTTTCCCTCCTCAGCTCCACATACTAGTTTCTCTTGTTTCCTTTAAGTCAGCTCAAACCACACTTTTTGCAGGAAACATCTCCTTGTCCTTCCCATTTGTATTGCCTTCCCTCTAATATTAGGTTTTATCTACTTAGCATATGTCTTATCTGTACATAGTTGTTTGCATTTTGTCTCTCTAATTAAAATGTGAGCTTCTTGAAGGCAGAGACCACTTTTTTGTCTTTCTTTGTATCCCCAGCAGCTAGCACAGTGCCTGATGCATAGTAAGTACTTAATAATAATTATATTATCATATATAATTATACATTAATTAATGTAATATAGTAATATAAATAATATATAATCATTGTATTATCGCTAACATTTATATAGTGCTTACTATGCTTGAGACACTGTGCTAAGTGCTTTACAATTATTCTCTTATTTGATACCTCCCAGGTATTACAAGCATACCTCCTATGCTATTGTTATCCCCATTTTACAGTTGAGGAAACTAAGGCAAACAGAAGTTAAGTGACTTGCCCATGGTCATCCAGCACTGTGCTACCTAGCTGCACTCATAAATTACTGTTGATTGCCTGAGACATAGCTCTCTTCATTTCCATACTAGGGAAACTTTTTTTTAAAAATGTAACTATATTACATATACAAAATTAGACACAGGAAATTTCCAGTAATAATAAAACATTCATATAGTACCTTAAGCTGTATAAAACACTCTGAATAATAACCTTATGTGAGAAAGATTGAAAGCATTATTAGCCTCATCTTACATATGAGGAAACTGCTTCTCAGAGAAGTTAAATATCTTGGATCACTTAGTTGGTAAATATCAATCAGGATTTGAACCCAGACTTCCTGAGTCCAAGTCCATTGCTTTTCCACCAAACTATGCTACTCTTCATGTTTCTTCACAAAGCTTAACAAATATTAACATCATTATTCATAAAGATGATTTTCATGTGTGAATACACAGATAGGAATGCAGCAGATATGATTTTTCTTAGTTTGGAAAAGAATGCCTTCAGAACTTTGAAAGTGGAGTGGGGATAATAAACACCTCAAATCCTTTAAATTTATTTTTTTGCCTGGATTTTTAATGATTGTACTCATCTTTCTTTCTCAGGCACAAAGAGATGGAAAGAACACTAGGCTTGGATGTAAAAGCCTTGATTTGAATCTTGGCACCGCCTCTTAGGCTATGTAGCTATGTGACCTTAGGTAGCTATGTGATCACTCTCAGTCTTAGTTTCCTCATCTGTAAAATGGGGATAAGAGTAATATTGGTGTTATTTACTTGCCTTATATGATTTTTGTGAGGTTATGTGAATACACAAGAGATTTGTGATTTCATTGAAATAAGAAACTGCTAGTGTGGGGAGTCTTTTCTCCAGTGTAGTTAACAGCTTGCCTGTGATTTATTAGATGAGTTCTAGGGAGTTATCTGCAATACAGTTAAATTACTTTCTCCTGATCACATAACTAGTAAGTACCATAAGCTGGCTTTGAATTCATATCTTCCTGACTCCAATCCCAGTACTCTATTCCCTGAGTAGTGAATAAAATGTTACATATATGATATGTATAAATTTCATTTTATTCATGTAAATTATAATTTCATCATAATTATAAGTTCAATAAATTATAAATACATGTATGTACATGTATATCTATGCATGTGTATATATACACACATATATGTGTATGCTACTTTGATTTTAAGAAAGCTATTATTTTAGGCATGTAATTATAACATTACAGTTTCAAGCAGATTTAAATTCCTGTCATTATTTTTGTTGTTGGTTTCAGATTAACGCTTTCAGATGAAGAATATGAGAATCTCTTCCAGTCTATCAATGGGTAAGTTACAGGCTTGTATGTAACACATCTACATAGAGACACATGTACTGTGTCTGAAATAATTATTACATAAGTACTGGCATATGTGTATAATTTATATATATACTGTACTTTGGCTATAATCACTTTCCTTTAGGGGTTTTTTGGAAGCAACATGGCATAGCAGATAGGGATCTGGCCTCAGAGCCGGGAAGATGTCATTTCAAATCCCACTTCTGCCACGTAATGTCAGTACTCTGGGAAGCTTTCCAAGATTAAATGTTGCAGAGAAGCTTCTCATTTGTGTTGATAGAAGGAAGGAGTTTCTGATAACAGCAAAATCACAAGCCTGGTCCCTGTCCCTATGGTATGGTTGTCATTATTTCCTAGATATGTCTAGTGGGCAGTTTAAACATGTCTTTTTTCTTGCTTTAGAGAGTTCTCAGAAGAACATAATGATACTATTTTTTAACTGCATTGTAAAACCAGCACATGATAGACTTGAATATGCAAGATAAACTCCATAAAGGCTAATTTTTTTAATCTTAGATACTAAACCTCTAATTACAGTACCTGATACTATTATTCAGATGTAATTGAGAAAAAACATGTAAACAATTTAGCCAGTTATTCTCATCTATACAAATATAGCTCTTTGTTAATTATTTATACTGTTGCTATAACAAATATAATCTTTTTTTAAAAATAAATTAAATCAAGATGCAAGGCTGGATTTAAAAGAATACAAAGAATACAACATAGTTCCATCTTTCACCAAACTCAATTACTAACAATCAGTATTTAAATTCTGATTTTTCTTTCCATGAGAAAACTTTTTCTTTCTTTTTATTTATATAGAGGGTTTCCAGGCTTTGAAATTAACCTAACCCACTGCTTATCCAGGTCTCTCAGTGAGATATTTGTGGCTTAAGTATTTAAAGCCTTCACAGATTTTCTCCTGGTATCTGCATCACTTAAAAATTGTTGGTAACATGGCTTCCTTATACTGGTGCTCATCTCCTGTTATTTATCTGGTATCTCTGGTACCTGCCATTCTCAGGGAAGGTCTCAAATGATTATTTCTTACTCCTGCTTATTACTGAGTCAACTTGCTTTCCCCCTTCTTGTATCAAAACTTATTTATAATTGAATCATTTTTGTATTAAGCTCGTTAGCTTTCTAACACGGTGAAGGCAGTCCCTTCCTTAAAGGGATCTGATTTTTCTATAGATTCCTTAGATTTGAACTTCTCAAAGACTTTGCACATTAACTAATTGCTGTAAATTGTCAGTTTCCCACCCGGGAGGGATCTGAACTGTTTGAGCAGGCTTAGGATTATACCTTCATAGATCCCATCTTGTTTCCTCACACATCAGTCAGGAGTGGTAAGTAAGGAATGGAGGTCACTCATACTGACTGACCTTCCTGTTTCTTGGACATACCACCCTTTCCCCCTTATCTGCTTAAATATGGGTAATGAGGGCAGGAACTTATAGCTAGGGATTTATTTGTGATTTTTCTACTGCCAAGTACTGTCTGTGGCATATGAGCATGAATGGAGTACATAGACAGTAGGAATATAGGATCATAGATTTAGATATAGAAGAGAACTTAGAGAACCTCATCATTTTACAGATCAAGTAACTGAGGCCCAGACAACTGACTTGCCCAAAAGGTCACTCAATGACAGAGCCAGAGTTTAAACTAAGATCATCTCACTCCAAATCCAGTGCTATAGAAGATAAAATGATAAATAACTCCTAAATACTTTATCCAATCTTCCAGATTATACCTAGTATCAGATATACTTTTTTGCACTCATTGGAACCTGTAATAATTTCCCCATGACTTTCAGGACAATACTTAGTGTGCTATGCTATGTATGCTATAGCTATTGCTCTGATTTATCTCTAAAATATATTTCCTTTAATTATCTTCTAGACTCTGGAGATGAATTGAAAACAATTTGAAAGTAGGCAGAATTGATTCTGCAAATAACTTATTTAAGGAAAAAATACAGTTCTAATCTCATAAAACCAAATATCATGGGACCTCATATCCTTTACAATTATAGTGTTGTGACTATAAAATTTAGCTTTGCTGTAGAAAATCTGTTCCCTTCTCATATTTCATCGTGAATACCATCGTGAATACACATGTAGATCATTTTCACAAATACCTTCTGGAGATGACAAAGTTGATAGTGTTTGCGCCACTTAGAGAGGTCCTCTTGATCACTTCTCTTTGGTAAAAATGCCATCTGTGATAGAATAAGACATACATTTTTTTGTTATGGCCCATGTGGGAATTTATTTTACTTGACTATGCATATTTGTTAAAAGGATTTTGTTTTTCTTTTTTCCCAGTGAGGGAGATGAGAGGAAGAGAGAATAATTTATTAATTGAAGGCAAATTAAGTAATAAAAAAAGAAAGATTTGGACCAAATCCTGCCTCATGTACTTGCTAGCCATGTGACTGTAGGGAAATTCTTCAATCTCTTTAAATTACTTATCTGTAAAATAAGGAGGTTGGATTCAGTGACTTCCAAGGCCTCTTCTAGCTCTAAATCTATGATCTTATGATTCCTTCCATGCTTTTAAAATTGTACTGTCTCCATGACAGAATTTTCCAGTGTATACTTGGCCTGAATTTCTTATTTTTGTCTTCTGAAGTGCCTTGTAGTTGTTAATTGAATTCTTACCTTTATTTTTTTCTTGTTTTCAATTTGTTTCCAAATTGTACATCTTGTTAATAATTTGTAACTTAATTAAGGTGGCCACCATTCACACACATGTCTGTATATGCATACGTGTGTGTGTGTGTGTGTATGATTATACCTATGTCTATATCTATATTTATGTATGAGTGCCAGCAGTTTTCAGATTTTTCCACTAGAATACTAAGGGTCAGATATGCCACAAAAGATAGCATAAAGGGAAGAATTAGTTTTTATATCAATGTACTTACATTTATAATAAATGCTGTATGTACTTTTGACAGATGTCCTAAGTTAGTATTGCCTCAAAAGTGATTTGTTGCAGTGTGATATAATAGATGGAGCCCTGGACTTGGAGCAAGGAGCACTTGGATTTGAGTTCCACCTTAGACACTTCATATATCTGTAACTCTTGACAAATCAGTTAATCTCTCTGGGTCTCAGTTTCCTGATTTGTAAAGTGAGGGAGTTGGATTTGATGGTTGCTTCCAGCTTGACATCTCTGATAATTTAAAAAGAAAAGAAATAAAATACTGTTGTTTCTGAATAAGAATTTATTTGTAATTACAGACTTCTTAACACTGATGTCTTCATTTTCATATAAACTTTGCTACACTGGGAATTTTAACCGTACTTGACTTGTGACTTAATGTTTCCTTTATTCCATATGTTTATCCTTACTACAAATTTTACTTATTAAGTAAATTGTATATTTTCTGTGAAAAAAACAAACAAACATTTGATATTGGGTTTCAGGATACTTTTTCCTGGTGGAGGGGTCGATCTTCAGACTTCAAAATATAGCCAAGTAGCCCAACTGTTTTATGACAAGGCCTTGAAGGTAATCTTCAATTGTTCTTTCATTCCCAGATTATAATAGTCCTGACCCTTCCCCTCCCCCCACCTCCATTGGTCTTCCTGCCTCTGGTCTCTCTTACATCTCCTCTTCCCATCCCTACATGGATTTTGTATACCACCTCCAGATTAATCTGTTAGAAATACTGCTTTGATCATGCTACTTCCCTCCTCTAAAATATTCAGTGCCTTACTTTTGCCATCTGGATTCATTTTAAATTCCTTAGCCTTAACATTCAGGTCACTTCATAGTCTGGCCCTAACTTGCCTTTCCAACGTTAGCTTCCATTGCTTCTATACATCTCATGCTCCAGCCAAATGGGTGTACTTGTCGTTGCTTGAGCTTCATATAACTTCTCCCTCCCAGTGTGTTTTCTCACGCTGTTGTTTTCTGTATCAGAAATGCATTCTCTCCAACCTTCATCTTTTTCTGGCCAAATCCTACCCATCCTTAAAGCTCAGACCAATTTTTACCTCTTCCATAAAGTCTTTTATCATTCTTGCAATTTCTTCCTTCTCTAATTTCCTGTAGAATTATATTTGGATTGCTCATGAAATGCTTACCTTTTCCTGACTTAAATTGTACAAATGTCTCATTTCCTTTACTAGCTACTTAAAGTCCTGAATTCTTTTTATACATATCTCTTATCTCCTTTAGCACTTTACATATTTTAGATGCTCAGAAATTTATTGAGTGAATATCCATGAGTGAACTTGAATTTTTACAAATGCAATAATTTAAAATGTAATAGGAAAAAATTGCTACTTAAAGGAACTCTATCGATAACCATTTTGTAAAGTAAGTAATTAGCTTTGGTTTTTCTCTTGTGTAAATTCAGATTTATCTAAAATTAAACTTTCATGAACTGGCTTTCAAGTATTTTTTTTTAAATGAGATGCCCAACAACTTGCGATCCTACATTTAATATATACTTATATAAAGACTTTTGACTAGTGATTCCCAACCTTTTCAAGTATGAAGATTCTTTTTTGATATAAATATATTTGTGGGTCCCGTATGGTGTTAGTAGTGTTTCTATCCACTGATTGCTAGATTACTTCCTGACCAAAAGCTACTCTGAATTCAATATTGTTCTTAGATAGTTACTGTGAATAATAACAACTAGGTAGCATTTGAAAAAGAATAATATATGTATGCTGTGACATTATAAATAAATATATTTATTATCTATAGGAAATGTAGTTGTTCATTTATTATGCTGAATCATACGGTGAGCTAGCTTCTTTGTAGCTCCCCAGAAGTCCATGGATCACAGATTGCAATATAAGCTTTAGACAAAAGACAAGCTTTAGAAATCACCTTGGAAGACATCTTATGTGTTTTATTGCCTTTGAGGTTAGTACATAAACTTAGTTTATTTTTTTCTTTCTCTACATGAAGGCTAATAATGAAGGAGATTATTTTCCCATTTGGGGAACATGCCTTGGATTTGAAGAGCTTACTGTCTTGACCAGTGGGAAGTTATTACTAACTTCAACCAAGACTAGTGGAATTGCTTTGCCATTAAACTTTACCGAAGGTAGGTTTTCTGTTGTTAGAGATTCCTCCATATGCAATTATTTGTCAAGATTACTAAGCAAAAATTATCGAAGGTATCTTTTTTGTTCTCTCAGGTCACAACATGTTACTTGAGTGAGGTGGCAAGTTGTTGTTTTTTTTTTTTTTGTAGATGAATAAGTATTTTTGTACTCCTTTGGAAAAATTATCTTAAGGTCTTTGGGAGTTTTAGAAAACCTTATTTACAGAAGGAGAGTAGTATGTCTACTACAGTTTAATCTACTATAATAGATCTCAATTTTTTCAAATGTGAGGACCTCTTTTTAACATCCCAAAATTTTTAAAATTCTCATGTTGATATTAATTGTAGTATTGGCATCTGTTGAGTGAAGAAATCCATGACAAGAAGCTACTATGAATTCATTAATGTTTTTAAATGATTTTTGTATTTCATTTATCACACCATTATATATTTGAAAAATAATAATACAGCTAAGCTTGAAGGAAGGGTATGATAGTTGATGTTGGAGTGGCAGGAAGTGATTTGTATTGCTCATTGACAATTTGTCTAGCCTCTTCTCACATTATAATTATGTAGGTAATTGCATCTGTTACATAGTGAGTAACTTCATTGATCTGATGTGTTTATTGAGAAATAAACTGAAAGATTTGAATTAGATGACTTTTGAGATCTCTCTGGCTCTAAATCTTTGATCTTATGATCCGTCTGAAATAATTTCTTGATTTAGGTAGACTTTTCTCTTGGGTATAAACTAATATGATGAGCTTGCTCATAAAACTTCTACTTAGCAATGTTGGTGAAGAAAGTTAGGTAATAAATATGGCTGGAGTTTAGTTAGATTTTCCTGGTAATTTTATTTCATTTTGAAGGTGATTTACTTTTTCTTATGTTTTTTAAAAAAACATATAACTGTTTCTTTTGAACCTTACAATGACTTTATGAGGTAGGAGTTCCTGGTATTATTGTTTCCATTTTGTAGATGAGTAAACTGAGTCTGAAGAAAGGTAAGTGACTTGCCCAAGGTCACACAACTAGCACAATTCGAATCTGGGCCTGTCAGACTCCAAGAATCATTTATTCTCTATCCATAAATCCCCCCTTCAATTAGATTTTTTGGTGGGACACATTTTATCTTTGATTTGAAACATCTGAATATTAGCATTTAGTCAATAATTTATTCATATTGACCATATTCCAATAATGTTATCTCTGGATTGAACACAAATGACACTGGTGAGTTTTATTCGTTTATCTTTTTTTTTTTTCATTTCAGCTGTAAGTGAAAGTAGGATGTTCCAGAATTTCCCTAAGGACTTATTAGAGGCATTTGCAACAGAACCCCTAACTTCAAATTTTCATAAGTGGAGCCTTTCCTTGAAGGTAGAACAATTAAAAAAGAAAGAATAAAGATAATGAGTTTAGTCTCAACTGTAGAAGAACCAAATTGTAATTAAAAAAAATCTTTATGCCACAGAATTTTACTATGAATAAGAAGCTAAGTGAGTTTTATAACATTTTATCTACAAATACATATGAAAACATTGAATTTATCTCCACGATGGAAGGTATGTGCATGCATTTTATTCACTTTATTTTACAGTTAACACATATACTTTTTTCCCTTAATATTCTTTATAGTTATACAGCATTATTCTGTATTGTTGAGTCTTAAGAATAGACTTGTCACTTTTTGGGCCGTAGAGGAAGTGTGAGCTGATCTGCCTTGGGGTCAGAGAAGTGCTTGTGTTTGATATCATTCTATTGTCAATCTTTTCATAGTCATTTACTTGATTCAGTCTTTAGAAGGAGTGGTGAATGTACTTAATTAGAGAGAGAGAGAGAGAGAGAGAGAGAGAGAGACAGACAGACAGGGAGGGGGAATGGTAGAGAGAAAAAGGGAAGGAAGGAGAGAGAGGACAAAGGGAAGGAGGAGAGAGAAAGGGGGAGAGAAGGGAGGAGTGAAGATTGAGGGTGAATAGAGAAATAAAATAGCAGCTGATTAAGGGAAGGAGGAAAGAAGGGTTGAAATGGAATGAGCATTTGGTGTATGTGCCTTTGGATTGCCAAGTGGAGAAGAAGCATGTTAACCTCCTTTTTAATAATTATTTTTTCTGTATCTTAGAACGTAGTATAGAGGAGGATGGCATAGGAAATAGGGATATCTCAATTAATTTAAAAGTGTAATATATATACTTTAATAGCATTTATTTATAAATTCTTAACATGAAAGCTTACTCTGATACCTCATTTTAGTGTAGAGGTGACCCTGGATTCTCAAAGACTACCAGTGGAAGGTAAGTTCTGGAAGGGCTACCATCTGCAAAACTTCACGTACAGGCCCAGTGATGGACTAAATGTCTGTTTTATGAGTATTAGCCTAAGTTTGGAAAGGTTCATTGTCAAAAGGTTCATTACCACTAGGTGGGGAAGAACCATCATTGGGGTGAGTCAATGGAGGACAGTAATTATGTTAAGAAGGTATGTAAAGTACTGATGTATCTTCAAAACTAGGGTGCAGGACTTTGAATTTTCTGAACAGGAGTGCACAAGCATTTATTAAGCGTTTGTTGTGTTCCAGGCACTGTGCTAAGCACTGGGGATGCACTGAAAGGCAAAAACAGATAATATGCAAACAACTATGTACAAACAAGATAGCTATAGATCAGAAGGGGCTATCATTGCTAGCATTAAGGGGAACTGGGGAAGGTTTCTTGCAGAAGGTTGTATTTTAGCTGGTACTTGAATAAAGGAAGCCAGGAGATAGAATCAAGGATAGAGAGCATGGAGAAAGGTGGGATGGACAGATGGTGAAAATGCACAGAGTTGGAAGACGGTGTGTCTGATGCAAGAAACGTCAAGGAAGCCTGTGCCCAGGTGGTGTGAAACTCAAATGAGATTATGGATGTGTACAGCATTTTGCGAACCTTAAACCACTATGGAAATGCCACTTATTATTATTAACCTCCAGTCACCAGGCTTCCACTCTGATGGTAACTTCATTCCCTGAGCCTCCTACTAGACTCCAGCTGAACACAGGCAGTGTTTATAAAGCAGTACAGGGTGTCCTGGTAAATGTTTAATAACCAGGCTGGGGAGGGAGAGAGAGGGGGAGGAACTATATGCACATACACTTTTAAGTTCAGTCTGCATTATCAACACTTTCTTAAGTCTAGACAATCGACAAAGGAATAAAGCAGCCTTCATTTATAGTGAGTGCTGATTTTTGAGGTGTAAATGCTCATGCAAAACATTTAACAGTGGGTTTTCACTTAGAGTTGGTTCTAGCATACCTCTGGGCCAGTGTCACTGGATTGCAGAATATATAAGGGTGAGGAAGATGTAAGAAGACTAGAAAGGTGGGGAAGATAGTTTATGAATGGTTTTAAAAGCCAAACAGAGGATTTTATATTTGAACCAGGAGGTAATAGGTAGCTACTGGACCTCAATGAATGAAGTAGTGTATGTGTGACATGGTCAGACCTGTTCTTTAGTAAGATCACTTTGGTAGCTAAGTGGATGATGGAGGCAGGTAAACCAACCAGAGAGTCTATTGCAGTAATCCAGATGTGAGGTGATAAAGACCTATATCAGGGAAGTGACAGGATCAGAGGAGAGAAGGAGGCATATTAATTAGAGAATATTAAGTTAGGATTAACTATGAATTATATATGGGGGAGGTGAGAGAGAGTGAGGAGTCAAGGATGACCCCTAGGTTGTGATCCTGAGTGATTGAGAAGATGGTCCTTTTGACAATAATAGGAAACTTGGGAAGAGGGGAAAATAATGAGTTCAGTTTTGGATGTACTGAGTTGAAGATGTCTTTAGGACATCTAGAGTTCATAGAGGTAACATTCTCTCCCCATCTGATGTGTGTGTATTATGTATGTATGTATGTATACACTACCTAATATCATTAAGCTATGATAAGCCAATCAGAAAGAAGTTACCAAGACTGTCTAGCACAGTGCCTTGCAAATAATAGTGCTTAGTAAAATATATTGCTTTGATTCAACTTAAGAAAATTATAGATTTAGAACTGGAAAGTGATTTAGGAGGTCATCAAATTCAACCTCCTTATTCTCCAGAAGAGGAAAATGAGGCTCAGGGACATTGAGTGACTTGTCTTACACAACTAGTAAGTGTCAGAGGTAAATTTGAACCTAGAGCTTCATGATTCTAAGTTACATTCTCTATTTTTATATAAGTAGATGAAAAGGTACAAAGTAGACAGTGAGGAGCAATAGAATATATTTGTGTGGACTTAATGAAATACATGATTAGTTCTCATACTGAGATATAATCTAACGATTACAGTTTATTTGTACTCTGCTTATTAGTAAAGTAGCACCATACTAAATATATTGTGAAAAGTTGTGTTTTAATAAAATATTTCATTGCCAATTTCAGGTGCCCTTTTATTTAGCTGAAACTCTCAAAATGTGGTATATCAGATGATTGCAGACATTCTATTTTATGTATTAAAGTATGCTTCTTTGACACTTTGAAAGATCCATGAAGTCATTGGTATGGGTATTGTCTCCCATGCTTTAGTAGACTGTTCTTTGAATTGCCATAGCCACAAAAATTCATCACTTGCTAGCCAAGGAATTTCAGTAATGAGCCACTCTAGATTTTACTAGGATGACCGTGAGAGGGCAGACAGACAATCTGTCTCTAAACCTGAGCTTGAAAGATTTTCAAATTTGGGAAACCCCCACACTTACATTCCACTGACAAGGCCTTCTAGCACCCACAGTCACCTTCATGCTACCATGAAGCATTGATTGGAATAAGACTTTATCGTAGGTGTATGTAAAATAATCACTTATAGAGATTAAATTTGGCTAATGTACCTAGCATCTTAAGGCATTCTAATTACCAATTGTGTTTTTTTCTTTTTAAATCTAGCATATGACTACCCTATTTATGGTGTCCAGTGGCATCCAGAGAAGAGTGTTTTTGAATGGAAGAATTTAACGGGCATAGTCCATACACCAATGGCTATTAAAACTTCATTCTACATGGCATACTTCTTTGTAAATGAAGGTAAGAAAAATTAGTTTTGTAATTCTATATTTATGGAAATTTCAGGTAGAATCAGGAGTGTGCTAGAACTAGCTCAGACCTGCTTGAGAGAGCTGATTGTTAAATTTTCAGAGTGAGCCTTTACACTTTGGAAACTGGCCAAAACTACAAATCAGGGTTTGATTTATTGTTTTGTTGATTGTCTAGACTTAAGGAAGTGACGGAGAAATATTTGCAATGCAGATTAAACTTAGAAGTGTGCCTTGTGTGCATTTTTTTTCAGAGAGCTAGCCATTAAACATTTACCAGCACCACTAGGTCAAATTATTCCTTATAAAAAAATGTAGAAGTTTCCAAAATGACCTAGGTAGAAAAAAATCTGGAGGAACAGCTGAATAATACAAAAGTCCTATATTTGAGGAGTAGACATGCTAATAAAAGTAGGGAAATTCATTTTGCTAAATAGCATTATATCATTTTGCAAGTTTTGCTAATTCCTTGAACAGTAGCTTTGATATTGAGTCTTGTTTTGTTCATTCCTTAAATATAAGTAAGTATAAGATTTAGAGGTATGAGGGATGTGAGAGGTATACATATACTTTCTAGCTATTCTTTTTTGACAAGATAAAGAACTTGATGGCCTCTGTGAAAAAATTGAGTATTATTCTTTTAAGGCATTCCAAAAACTTAATTCACATGCAGATACTTGTGACTTTAAAAATCTTTCCCAGAAGGCCTTAGAGTTTCTTAACCTGTATTGAGTCACAGACCCCTTCGATAGTCTGCTGAAATCTATGGACTTCTTCTCAAAATAATGTTTTTAAATGCATAAAATAAAATACATAGGATTACAAAGAAAACCAATTAAGCTGAAATAAAGATGTATTTTTTTTCCTACCCAGCTCAAGTGGCCTATGAAATCCAGGTTAAGAACCTTTGTCTTAGAGAAAGCTAACATGAAGTGATTTGCACCCCTGCCCCTCACATTGGAGTTGTGTTTATAATTGCAAGTGACAATGGTATTTGGGTACAAATGGGTGATTATGTTTTTAGTTTAATGATTTGAGTTACACACACACATTTAAGAAATTCAACAAGGGCTGCATTATAGACAGAAATGAATGGAATTATGTGGGTCAAATGAAAAATTTTGTAGATTTGTAATGTTAACATTCTCTTTTAGAGTGTCTGCAGTTTTTGTTTGCCATCAGTAATTTTGCTTATTCTCTGAGCTTAAGAATTAATCATAATTAGGTCTATTATATATAGAATTGTGCTAAGAGGAATTGAAAGTTGTTTAATACAAAAACCCAACTCTTTTTTTAAAAAGTGTCTTACTCCAAAGTAAGTGGCATAAAGAGTGTGGCCAGGAATGAAAGACTTCATTGTTATTAAATATAAAGGAGCAAAGTAAAGGCTGTTTAACGGATGTTTACATGATAGATGAGTTTACTTGGTCTTCCTATTACATTCCTTCTTCAGAAGAGGATTAAATACTTATTATACTTTTGTGTTTTTCTTCCTGGTAGCTTACTTAACTAATGAAAACCGAACTTCAGTATAGAGCCAGGCAATAATAGCTACTTATGTAACTGTAATCAACAGAAATCAATAGATGAGAGGAAAAACAAGGAGCTCTTTTATTTGGAAGGTTAACGAAATATTTTTTTTTCCAGTTGAGAAGTGATATGCTTGACAGCGTGATGGTAAATGTTTGACAAATGGCTCTGGAAAAAAAATACACTTATGATATATTTTAAGCTTAATCAACTTTAACATTTAACTTTAACTTCCTTAGGTCTAAACAATCAATTAAATAATAATTCAAGCACTGATTCTTAGCATTTGCTGATTTCCAAAGCGTAAAGGCTTGTAGCTAAAAATTTAACAATTGGGTCTCTTGTACTGGTTTGAACTGCTGCCCGCATACTCCTGAATATTCTAAATATTATTTTCTTGTAAGAACAAATGTTGTAAAAAGATTGTGGGATAAGATGACTTTCTAAAAATGATACTAATAATTAACATGTTTTCTGTATATTTCTTTTTTATATAATTTTTAGCTCGAAAAAGCCACCACCATTTTGCAAGTGAAGATGAAGAAAGTAAGGAACTGATTTATAACTACAATCCTGTTTTCACTGGGAATGGGTCTTTATTTCAGCAGTGCTATTTTTTTGATTGAATTTTGCTAGAACCACAGTGATTTGTTAATGGAATCATTAAAGTATTGTTATTCATGTCTATGGCAGTAAAGGAGTCAAGTCATTTTTTTCCTTTTGTGTCATTGTGTTCTGATTTTGCCTTTGTAGACTTTCTCTGACTAGGTTTCCATTCAATGTGATGGGGCTTCTAGATCATACTTTAGTGTATTGAATCAGCAGATGCAAAATTCCATTGTATTTGAAGAGATGGCAATATTCTTCTTGCTTTCTTCAAATTAGAAAAAATAATAATATGGCTTATTGAAAATATAAGAAAGGATTTTTACTCTCATGAATGAAGGAGAAATTCTGTAAAATATCACAGGTGACTTAATATCATCTGGGTAGAATAATTTAAATTGTAAACATTATTAGTATTTCTGTGAAGAATAGTAATTAGTTGGCAAGATTTTTTGGGTTTTTTTGTTTTTTGTGTTTTTTTTTAATCTTGAGACTTGAGCAAAATGGAAAGAAATTTAAATTAGTCAAGTGACCACTTGATTATCATGGTCATCGGTGATGGTACCAAACCTGGAGTGATTTTAGATGACTTTGCTATGCATTTTATATAAGACCTTAGACTGGGTGACAATCTCCTAACGGGAAAGAGGAAGACGAAGAACTTACAAATTAATAGTTTATAGACGACTTAGACCTTTTGTTTGGAGGCAATCAGGGTTAAGTGACTTGCTCAGGGTTACATAGCTAGTAAGTGTCTGAAGCTGGATTTGAACTCAGGTCCTCCTGACTTCAGGGCTGGTGCTCAATCTACTGTACCACTTAGCTGCCCTGATGACTTGGGCCTTTTTTCCCCTTTTTAAAAAAATTTAATTTTGTATTTTATTTTTTCCCCCAATTGCATGTAAAAAGAATTTTAACATTCTTTTTTCAAATTTTGAGTTCTAAGTTCTCTTTCCCCTCTTCCCTCCCCCCAACACTGAAAAGTAATTTGACATAGATTATACATGTGTAGTCATACAAAACACATTTCCATGTAAGGATGACTTAAACTTTTAAACAGAACAGATGAATCAGTGTACTACCTAAGGAAATCATGAGCCTGATTTTTCTTTCTTCATCAATTTTCCATTAACACATGACTGTCCAGCTAATAAAAATCAAGAAGTAGCCATTGTGACAGCAAACTAAAAAAATAAGTCATTGCAGATTTCCTCAAATGTACCATCTTATCCTCTTGTAAATTCAGACTAATGATGTAACTAGTTAGTATTCTCATGGGAAGAACAACGAACAAATTCATGAATTCAAGTTGTAGGATTATAGATAGAGTGGCTGAGTGGACATGTTAGTGTCCTTTTTCCATTTCTGTTATCAAGGATAATCATTAATTATAGCAATGATAGTTTGCTTCCACTGGACCAATGATATTCCTCCAATGAGATTAGGCTTTTAGATTATACTTTAATTTATTGCATTAGCAGATGTAAAGTGCCATTATAGAGAGGGCAATATTCTTCTTGCTTTCTGCAAATTAGCACAAAAACCAACCAACCAAACAAATATGGCTTAACCAAAATGTAGAAAAGGATTTTTACTCACATAAACAAGGGAGAAATTCTGTAAAATGCCGCAGGTGATTTTATCATCTGGGTAGGATAATCCATGGTTTAAACATAATTAGTTTATGTCTAGTCCAATGAACTAGTCATTAGTGCTTATCAATGTATTTGTAATAACAGGTTTTAATGTACAAACTGAATTTCTGGCATGTAGCATTTCCCTTGAAGAACCTAGGCTCAAACTTTTTTATTGAGACAACTATAAACAATGCACCAGATCTTCCCTAAAGGAACAAATTATTATCCTTGATAAAAAGAAGTATATGTCTTTAGTCAAACATTTTAACTCATGCTGATGCTAATCTTCATTTTTTTGGCATATATATATATGTATATATATATATATGTATATATATATACATATATATACATATATATATATATACACACACACACACACACACACATATAAATGATGGTGATCAGATGAATGTCTTAGATTTTTTAAAATGGAGATGTAGAATATCATTGAAATTCTTATAATAAAAAGCCCAAGAAGACACTCATTATTTAATTTCTCATCTGGTCAAGAACTAGAGTCTGATCTGAAATGCAGCTATTTGTTTTTTAATACTCATTTCCATTCTCTGTTTAAATTAAAGCTCTCCAATCTTCCATCAGGTTCTAAGTCTTGCAGTATAGATCCTCTTCTTTGATAAAGTACTAAGTTTCAAGACACATTAATATTTGTCACTACTGTTAGGGGTCAGTGAGATATTTCTGGGAGGCATATCTATCTGCTTGTCCTTTTTTGACCATCTGTTTATATTAAAAATCTAAGTGAATGGTGAACTATGAACTTTTTTTTTCTTTTAAGAAGAAAGGCAGTTGAGTAGGAATTGAGAAAACTAAGAAATAGAACCAGCTCTGACACTGAATTTAGTAATCATAAAGTTCTTAACTCCCTTTGTGTTTCACTCTCCCAATCTATAATATGGTAAGAGGTTATGAAAATCATCCTCTCTGCCTTTCCTAATTCTACCCTTCCTCTAAGTCTCCACCTCCTCCATGAAACTTCCCTTTAAGCATCCCAGATAACAATGAGCTCTCCCTCTTCCTCCCCTCATTTGGCACTTAACAAATGAGCCCTGCTCATTTCTTTTTAGATTGGTTTGATTTGTCTCCCCAATTTGCTTATAACTTGCTTGAAGATGGCTAGCTACCCTAGGTTATTGTTTATATCCTTTGTATACCTAGTACAATGTTCTATGGGCAACAGAAATTTGTGGATTGATGGACTATCTGCACATTAAACACTTTCTCTCCAAGATGTTATTTCAGATAGGACCAAGTAAAGCTATGTGAAGTTAGATAGTGCCTATTTAAAATTGCTCCCAGTTTTTTCTTGTAATACTATCATTAAGTTCCTGAATTGTTAGAATCAGGCTGCTAATGTTACATAGTGCCTTATGTATAAGGATTGCCAGTATCTGAGTTTCTTCATCTTTTAAGTGTAAATAAGTGTTTTCTGGATGCTCTTTGGTTTCATATCACTATCACTTCCCAATGACCCAGTGAATTACCTCAGTCTCCAAATAGAACTCCCCTCCCAGTGGAGAAATACAACTAAGGAAAACAAGTCAACATATTGTCTATATCTGGCAAAATGCAATGGATTCCCATGAGGCTTCACTTTCTGTTGGTCCTCAAAATCAGAGGACTCAGGGTAAAGGGTAGACACTGGAGGAGAAATTCTAAATACAGAGCACTTGTTTGCAGCATGTAAAGAAGGAGCAGGCATATGGAGGAAACTTCAGCCTTATGTTATAAGGAGTAAATTTAAATTTAGTCAGGTAAAGGGGACAGAAATTTGGAAACTGCATATGACACACATAGGTAATAATGTACTTTGAACATTTAGAGTCTTGAAAACTTTGCAACATATACATTATACATGTGGAATGTAGTAATGATATATTTGTAAGTAATCAATATTTTTGTTTTAAAACTTACAAGTATTTTCTTTTGGTTTTATTTGGTAAATCTTAATTAAAATTAATGAATACACAACATTCAAAATAGAAATCACCAAAATAGACTGTGTTGGTCTTATAAGCCAATAATATTGTCTCTCATGTGAATACATTCATTAAACAGATATTTATTAAGGGCTTTTGTGGGTAGCATTGTGTTCAGCTCTATTTAGGGTGGGACACAAAATATTTGACAAGATCTCTTTTTTTGAAGGAGCCTAGTTAGAGAAATTAGACACCTAAATAGTCAAGTAACAGAATAAGGCAAGGTGAATGTCAAATAGATGAAATAGATAATGAACACTGTAGGAATTCAGAGGAAGGCAACAGGCAACAGGTATTTATTAAGTACTAACTTTCTGCCAGGCACAGTGATATAAATCTGTGTGTGTGTGTGTGTGTGTGTGTGTGTGCTTACATTCTAATAGCAGAAGACAGCACATGAAAGAGCTAAAAAGCTGTGTGTGGGGAAGGTGCACACTGGGGGATGGTGGTAAAGTCCAGAGAGAATCAGAAGCACAGTCAGGAGAGGAATGAAGCAAGGCCAGACTGGGCTTAGCCCCAAAATGGCAGCTCAGGAAAGAACTCACTAGTGGGAAAAGGGGGCCAGCATAGCCGAGGGATCTTCAAGGGTAAGAAGGCAACTGAGTCATGGTGGGAAAGAGTCAGAAGCACAGCTGGGAAAGAAATAAGAGAGAAGGAGGGATGGCATAAAGTAAGAACCAAGGTCTGAAGACTGAACCTTAGGAAACAGAGTGGTACAAGAGGAACAGTCAGAAGGAGGGAGGAGCACCAAGATAATGCAGTGCTACAGAAGCCAGAGTAGAAGAAAGTCTCAAGGAGAGGGCAATCGCTAGCATCAAACGTGGCATTGGTTGATTGAATAAGAAGCATTTATTATGTGCTTAGTCCTCCTGTGTATGAGTGTGAGTGTAAAGACAAAGGGAAATAGTTCTTGCCCTCAAGGAACCTACATTTTATATACCTATGTAAATATATACAGAAGAGATACAAAGTTACTGGGGTGGGGGAAACACTAACTACTAGGGTGGATTGGGAAAGGCTTTATGCATGAAATGGTGCTTGAACTGAATCTCCAAGGTAACTAGAGGTTCTAAAAGGGAGAGGTAAGGAGGAAGTGCATTCCAGGCAAAGGCACTGAGGTGGGAGATGGGAAACTGTCATTAAGTCAGTCTGGCTGGATTGTAGAGTGCATGAAGGAGAGTAATGTGTAATAAGTTTGGAAAGATTAAGGGCCAGGCTGTGAAGAGCTTTAAATACCAAACAGGAATTTGTGTAAGACCCTAGAAGTGATAGGAGACCATTGGACTTTATCAAGTAAAGATGAACACAGGGTCAAAGCTGCTCTTAAAGAAAATCACTGTAGCAGCCGGAGGGAGGAAGGAGTAGAGCGGGATAGACTCAAGTGATGAAGGTCTAAACTAGAGTGGTAGCTGTAGAAGGGAAGAGAATGGGATGGATGTCAAAAGTGTT